CACAAAATTTTTGAGTTGATTAAAACACTAATGTATTGCTTCTATGCCCAATATAACTTATACTAAACTGTCCCATATCAATTACACTAGTGTTATCTTTTGAATTTAGAAATAGAAGTTATTAAATGTTGGTGGCTCATCATGCAGTGCATTTGAGGAGGGCATGCTTTCAAAGTAAGTATAATTTTACTAAAAAAAGAGCATTTTTAATACCGCAATTATATTACATACTTGATATACATAAATATATAAGCTGGTCACAATAATCCAGTCAAAAATTTCTTTAAAAAAATAAATTTAGTGTTGAGAAATTCGTATTTTTTGATGTTTGATGTTATGTTTATAAAATAATAATTATATATATGTGTGCGTGCGTGTGTGTGTGTTGTTTATTTCCCCTTGATTTTTACATACTTATCTTTTCAATATTTTTTTAGGGTTAAGACTGCTATCCTGATTCCTACAACAACAAAAAAACTTTAAAATGCTGGTGGCAATATTTTAAAGAGTGCATCTGATCAAAAAGAAGGTGAATGACGTCAACTGTTCGAACATTCGATTCTTGGAAATTAACAAGTGGAAAAAGAAGTTTACAAAATTTTAATTTATAAAACTCAGCACAATTATATTATTAAAAAATTTAAACGATTTATTATTTTTTGCTTATTCTCAAGAAGTTCTGTGCAAAAATAAATTTGAACCTTACGTTCAAGTAAAGCCATGTAAGAACACGTATTTTAGACGTCGAAATGAGAACGTCTAAATTTGGTTATTTAAAGACGTCATTTGGCGTTTCCATTTAGCACTAGTTCTGAACGTCCTAAATTCACGTATTTTAGACGGCTAAAAACACGTCTTCATTCCGTCCTAAAAAGACGTCCTAATTACGTCTTAAAAAGTCGTCATCTGGCGTTGCCATTTAGAACCAGTTCCAGACGTCCTAAAAATACGTCCTTTCGACGTCATATGGACGTTGCCGTGCCCGCTGGGTTATCTTCTTAGGGACATTAAGATTACTTATTTTTTTTTTTATTAAGTGTTTAGACAGAGATTCCTCATTATTTTTTATATGTATAACAAAGTAATTGCTGCTTTGTAAATAATTATGGAGCTTGTTATAAACAATCATATACTCAAGAAAAAAATCTGATTGAAGATATTGACAGCAATGATCGTCAGCTACTTAAAAAACGAACAAATCGGAAACAAAAACAAAATACTAATATATGTACACACCATCATGATATGTTAGTTGTAAGATATGAGGGTAATCAGAAAAACTGCTGTAATCAATTTCTGAGACTTCAAAAGGTGTGTAGAGGTAAAAATTTATATATTTATATTTCATAAGGTAATATCATTAATAATAAGTCATATAAGTTTTTTTGGTAATGAGATTTGTTCAATGTTTCAAAGTTATTTATATAACAAATTGTATAGGAATATAATTCCATAATATATATAATTAATATTATTTAAGTATTGTAATTACTTTCTTTTTAAGCATCTCTACGTGTGATCACAATGCATACTGTGTTAGAAGCAGAAACTATAGGTTTAAATCTTATACCTCGAAAAAAACTGTGTCCAACCTGTCAAAGTAAAGTTACGACATGTTTATCAAAAAGTATAAGCGAAAACAAAAATGATAAAGATTTTGATATTGTTAATGAAAGATCCATTCAAAATAAAATAAAAAAGTGTAGATACACACTTTGCATCTGCCGGAGTAATTCCAATTAAGGTCAAAGGATTGCACAAGTCAGGTAAAATCAGAAAAGGTAAACGAAAATTGACAATATTAACAACCTATATTAAAAAGAAAGGTAGTCATTTCCCTTAATATATCAGAAGAAAGTTTTAAAGAACAGTCAAGTTTTAATAATTAGTATATAGAAAAAAGCAAACCTTTTGATAACATGATGGTATTTTTAATTAACACTTAAGAAAAATTATTTTCCTAAGAAATTAGAGATTTTTATATTTATGATTCTTTTAAGTCTTATCCATTCTTTTTTTAAATATTATGTTTTGTGAACCAACTTGTAAATAATGTGAATATAAAGCATATATAAAATCACTAAAGTTTCGTATTTTCAAAAATATACGTTTAAATTTTGTTTTAAATATCATATGAAAATGAAAAAGATAATAAAGTCACTAAGTTTTTAGTTTTTAATTTGATTGATTGGTAAAAGGTGGGGTTATATTGAGTATCTAATTTAAAAAATACTAAAAAATTATGTGTCAATATCAAACATCAATAATTCCTCAAGTAAATATAAGGCCAAAACAAAATTGGTTCGAAAAGTAGGTGTTGATCTTATTTTTAAGAAAATCGAAATTAAACTTTTTTTATGTCATTCAGATTTTTTTTATAGTTATAATTGTCAATGCCATTTTTTCTCGGCGTTATAAAGTGTGATTTATGGATCTTAAAATAAGCTACATTCCCTTGTTTTGACATATACAAAAACTATATTTTTTGGATTTAACATGTTTTAAACTCTTTTGGTACAAAGTTTCAGAATTGTGGCATCACTACAAGCACCATATTAAGGTGAAAGTAAGTGGAATGATTTTCGGCACTCTTCCCTCTCAGTATTTAGTTTTAATCAAGGAAGTTTTAAATTGCTGTAAATTATAAACAGTATGGAATTTTATAAAAAAAAATTACAATCTTTTCAAACATATGTCTATAAGCATTTGTGGCAAGTTTTTAAAATTATGTTGATTTAGGGTGCAGTTTTTTTGTGTTTTTTTAGATATTTTTACCCTTAAATAAACTTTTAATTTAAATATTAATTATGTTATGTTAATGAAGTTAACTTTTTTATAACTTAATTCTTAATACTTTGGTTTGCAAAATGTCTTTTTTAAATTGACGCTAAAGATACTAAAGTTTTTAAATTAGTTTTACTATTTGTCTCCGAAAAGACACATTTTTTTGCATTTCTCTGAAAAAACACATTTTATTGTATGTCCCCGTAAATGGTCATTTTATGTTTAAACAATTTACGTGGACCATTTTTTACAAAAAATGTATATATTCAGTTGTCATTAAGTCTATTAATTAACCTCATGTTACCGCGTTAAAAAAAAAAAAAAAAAAAAATTTCAACGAAGTTTTTATCGAATTTTTGAATTTATATTTGTCCCCGAAAAAGTCCATTTTTACAATGTTCCTGTTAATGATCAAAAAAGAGTGTGTTTATATATATATATATATATATATATATATATATATATATATATATATATATATATATATATATATATATATATATATATATATATATATATATATATATATATATATATATATATATATATATATATATATATATATATATAAATATATATATATATATTTATATATTTATATATATATATATATATATATATATATATATATATATATATATATATATATATATATATATATATATATATATATATATTATATATATATATATATATATATATAGTATATATATATATGTATATATGTAAACACACTCTTTTTTTCTTTATATATATATTAAATTATATATACATATATATATATATATATATATATATATATATATATATATATATATATATATATATATATATATATATATATATATATATATATATATATATATATATATACATTTTTAAGTCTCGTTAAGTCTTGAATTGGTTAATATTGATAACAAATGTGCACTTTTTTTAAAAGCAATAAATATAAGTTTATCATAATTATATTGCTATTTATCATGGTATACTTTATGTTACCTTCAATTGCTTATTTAGTCATGAAAAATTATTCAAAATTTAAATATGCAACTAATTAAAGCTAATTTATTTATCTTTTAACATTTTTTAGGCTACGTTACATCTCAATTGGTTACACTTTCAATAATATTACTTTTTGAAATATTTTTAAGGTTTAAGGTTTTTAAAATATTTTCAAGGTTTAAGGCTCAACGTACGTAATGTTGTGTTACACGGACGTGTTTGAAGTAGAACCAATTGAGATGCAATGTAACATAAAAAAGATGTCTTTTCTTTGTTGTGAATTGAATGCTTATTAATTTTTTGAGGTCTAATAACTAAATAAGGTGAAACATTTTTTGGTTCAAAGTATGAACTTAATTTATTATTATTAATGAGATTGTATGTTTTCCTGTGAATATTATAATACATCTTTTATTGAATTTTTTTACAGCTGAGTAGTTTTTATATTTGGCCAAATGATTGCCAGGTTTTATATAGTGTCAGTTAAATGAACTCTATTTTTCAGCTCATGTATTTGTCTTATAAAAATAAAAAATAGTTTTTTTATAATCCCAACAATGTGCTAAGAGTCATAAATACGATGTATATTGACGTTTTTATACCATTGTAAAAAATGATTTAAAAAGCAAAAGAAAATAATAAAACAATAATAACAACAATAAAAATGATCATATTTAAAAATCTACGAAACCTAAAACTTTTGCTATTATTTGTTTAAAAAAAAAAAAAAAGATTTCTTAATTGAGTACTTTTTGCACTAAACCACTTAAAATAATTTGAAACAGAGACTGCTCTTAGCCTAAAATACTTTATGAATTCAGTCTTTGAGCTAACTTCCAAACATGAAACATACCCCATACAATTATATGCTTATATTACTTTTATGAAATACAGATGTTTGACAAAAAAATTGCGATGATTGGAGCCTAAGAAAAGGAAAAGCTTTAAAGTTTTAGCCACAAACTTGTGAGCAACAAGTTAACAAAAAATTTTCTATAATATTTTTAACTAAATTTTAATTTCATTAAATATTCTCTCACCGTTCAAAAACTATAAACATAAAATATTTTTTAATTTTTAAAAAACCTAATAACTTTTTTGCTCTCAGGTTCCAGTGTTAGTTTCAAATTTTTAAAAAAAGATGTAAAAAACTTTATTCATCTGACCATTCCGATTGTAAATAATGACAGTTACAGGAATAAAACAAAACTTACTAGTATCGAGTGTACAAGATCCAGGTATAATATTTGCCTAAAAAATGAATTTAGAAATGATATTTAGAAATGAGGTAATGTCTCTTTCAGTATTTACTAACTTTAACTAGTTTATGCGTATTAATAGAAGCTATTATCAAAATTTTATGTTTATAATTATTATTGTCATGAGTTTTAAGTGTTTACCCATATAAAATTACTCTTAAAGTCTGATATCAAAAAAAGGGTATGAAAAAATTATAAAAAAACTTTATGTAATACTAATATATCTTTATGTAATAACATTGTAAACCGCAAGTCTAAAAACAGATCTAATATAAAAAAAAATAACTAAAAAAACAAACAAGGTTTTGTATTCCTAGCATAAAACTTTTAAAAGTGCCTTCTTTGCAATTTAATAAGCTCAAAATTATATATAAATAAATATATATATATATATATATATATATATATATATATATATATATATATATATATATATATATATATATATATATATATATATATATATATATATAGTATATATATATATATATATATATATATATATATATATATATATATATATATATTATATATATATATATATATATATATATATATATATAAATATATATATATATATATATATATATATATCCTTATAGTGTAGTCGAAAGAGTCGTTTAATGTAAAAAAAGTCTCTTTCGACTACAATTTTAATTACCTCGTCTCTGAAGCTGTTTTTGATTGTCATCGAAATGTCAAAGCAATTAATTTATGCGGAAGTACATTAAATTTAATTGTTTTTTAAAAAACCGCAATTATAACGACTAGAAAGTTTTTTTTTAATTAGTGGTGTTTTTGTTATTGATTTAATAAAAAACATTTTTAAAACATGCGTAAATGTTGCTACATCGACAATCTTATAGCCTGACTCGCAACGGAGTGCTGCTACATCGACTGACAAATAGCCTGACTCGCAACGGAGTGCTGCTACATTGACTGACAAATAGCCTGACTTGCAACGGAGTGCTGCTACATCGACTGACAAATAGCCTGACTCGCAAGGGAATGCTGCTACATCGACTGACAAAAAGCCTGACTCGCAAGGGAGTGCTGCTACAACGACTTACATATAGCCTGACTCGCAAGAGAGTGCTGCTACATCGACTGAGGGTTTGGTTTGGCCAGGCAGTCTATCAATTAAAAAAAAAAATTCGATTTTCAAAATTTTTTCTGGTCTGGTTTATTAACGCGCTCTTCAAAACTACAGTTTATGGGAAACATTTTTTGATGCTATGCAAGAGACATGCAAGAGTATATATATATATATATATATATATATATATATTTATATATTTGTATATATATATATATATATATATATATATATATATATATTTATATATATATATATATATATATATATATATATATATATATATATATACATATATATATATATATATATATATATATATATATATATATATATATATATATATATATATATATATATATATATATATATATATATGTATATATATATATATATATATTTATATATATATATATATATATATATATATTTTTTTTTTTTTTTCTTATGTTGTAGACATAATTTTTGAGAGTATGTAAATATTATTTTATAAGCATCAATAAATACGATTTTTCTCTTAATACTATTATTATTTTTTAAAAAGAAGTTTTTGCTGGATTTTTGTGACCAGCGTCTTTATTTTTAAAGTTTTTTGTTTGTTTTTGTTTATATGTTATTTTATAAATGGCAGTTTTATTTTATGTCAATAGGATGGTTTTGTCTTTTTCTGACATAGGTGCGCTAGAAATGGTTTTCAAAAGTTTCTTGACGCATATTGTCCCTCATCTAAATTATTACCAATTTATTGAGCGGCACATTGGTGTTATCTATTGCAAATGCCTCAAGAATTTTCTATCAACCTGTTTTGCATCGACTTTTAGAGTCGTGGAACTGCCCCACGTAATTGTAATTGTTGTGTACAATGTCTCTTGTGTGTGGCTAATGCAGATTGTTTTGTTATTTTTCCTGTTGTACTGTTTTTGTGATGGTGCATCCATGTTTTTAATTGTATTTTTGTTTTACCAATATACTTTTTGCTACCATGACATTTAACAAGGTAAACTCCTGATGGTTGTTCATTTGTTTGCGTTAAGTGAACACCCCATTTGACAATCTATACTAAAGAAGCTGTTTTAAATTTATGCAAAACAGCAATTTCAGAACATCAAAAATATCTTCTTAACCTTGGACAAAAAATTGTACTAAGAATAAAATCGCTCCCGTATCTTGACATTGTCTCAAAAACCGATTCATCTGCTTTAAAACTTAAATACAACAAAAAAGATCAAGATGCGCAAATGTTGAGGAGAGAAGTTTTTAGAGAATTAAAACTAAATAATAATTATAAAATTGACAACCTGACTTGTGAAAAACGGAAAGCACTTATACAATTAAAAAACGATAACAATATTAACATAAACTTATTTGATAAAGGAATGGGATTGATAACTATCCCTTAAAATAAAGCAAAATTATTTGAAAACAAATTTGGCTAACTAAAATTATCAATGAAGATCCAACACAAAGTTGCGCAATGAAAATTAAAGTCCAACTATCGAATTTAAATAAAAAAGGTAGTTTTCATTTATGGTAGTTTTAGCTAAGTCTTTTCTTCAGCATCTTGAAAATAGAGCACTAAATACAGCGCTGAAAACCAACCCGCTTATTGATATAAAGACATTTTATAGAAACGTAGATGACAAATATGGTAGAGTATCTAACATTGCCCAGGCTGATCAATTTAAAACAATACTTAATCAACAGCATCCAAAAATACAAAATACCATCGAATTTGAAAATGACAAAAAAACACTAAATTTTCTAGACATGCATATTAAATAACAAAAATGTTAAATATGAAGTTAAAACAAACACAAAAAATGCAATTACTATCAATCAAATTAAGGCAAACAACAAACCATGACCCACAAAATTTGAATGGAATGTTTAAGGGTTTTTTTACATAGAGCATTAAATGTATGCAGTCAGAAACATATAGAAAATGAACTGAATTTCCTTGTTCAAGTATTTGTCGAAAATAGCAACAAACAGTCCAATCTCATAAAAATTATAAAAGAAATAAAACGAAAGTACAAAAAATCTCTCTTGACTACTAAAAGCCTTGATAGCATTACCAGTACGTATTCAACGATTTCATTACCTTGGGTATTAAAATTATCTTCTGAATTCCGTAAAGTGTTTAGAAAAGAATAATTTAAAACTGTCTTCAAATCAAACTTGAACTAGATGCAATGTTAACATCAAAAAATAAATCCAAACTGCAAATGAAAAGCCACCCAGGAGTCTACCTTATTGAATGTCATTTTAGCAAAAAGTAGGTATAGGTGAAACAAAAATGAAAATAAAAACACACATGCAACAACACAAAACAATACAATAGGAAATAAAACAGAACAATCTGCATTAGCCATACGCATGAGACATTGTACACAACAAATTAACTGGGACAGATGCAGATCTCTAAACTTCAATGCTAAAAAGTTTGATGGTAAAGTTCGTGAGGCACTTGAAATATGTGCACTAATGTGCACTAATGTGCACCTCAACAAAATGGTATAATTTTAGATGTGGGACAATATTTGTCTACAATTTTTTAATACCATTTTTAGCGCATTTACGTCAGAAAAAGTTGAAACCATATATATATATATATATATATATATATATATATATATATATATATAAATATATATATATATATATATATATATATATATATATATATATATATATATATATATATATATATATATATATATATATATATATGTATATATATATATATATATATATATATATATATATATATATATATATATATATATATATATATATATATATATATATATATATATATATATATATATAGTATATATATATATATATATATATATATATATATATATATATATATATATATATATATATATATGTTATTATTATTATTATTGTTATTGCTATTGCTATTATCATTATTATTATTATTATTATTATTATTATTTTTATTATTATTTTATTATTGCTAATAATAATATTATTTTATTAATCACCCTCTGAAATATAACTACAAGGTTAAACAAAGAAATTAAAAAAAAATAGAGATAAAAAAAGTATCATTTAGAAATGTTATTTTTAAGTGTGTTTTTAAAAATAGCTTGCTTTTGATTTACATTCCAACATTAAACCTCCTGTACCAAAATACGAAGAATAGCTTTAGGAACTACATTCTCTGAGTCTCTAAGTTTTTTTTTTTTTTAACCAGCATTAAGGTTCTCATTTTCTGTTTATAAATATTACATAATTTATTTATATCATCTAAAAAAAGAGTATTTAACTGAACAGTAGTTAAGTTTGGGAGTAATTGATTTTAAAGGTTACTTTATTGTTTAAAAGACAAATAAATAGGCTTATTTTGTTACGGTTTATATAAAGTAATATCTCCTTAATTTTAAATAAAGAGTTTGTATACCTTTTATTACACTTAGAGACATTAAAAAGCAATTTAAGTGCGTTCTTTTCAAGTTTGTTGAGACTTTTCATTGTTGACTCTTTAATTTCAAAGATTTCTAGACCATGGGTTGTCGTCGGAATTGCTAATGATTTATATAATTGGATAAAAGACCTTTGATGTGCAAACCGGAATCTAGATGTAATTAGAGTTTGCACTGTTACGTAAAAAATTGATACCCTACTGTCTAAATTCATTCTATTTACTGAAGCAAAAACCGATATTTTTGTATCCCAAGTAAAGCCGAGATAGTAATAATACTTTAATACCTATGTTATATAACTATTGTCAACTGACAACACAAGTATAAACCAGATGTTTGTAAGTATTTGAACTCAAAATATTTCTAGGATAAAATTATTTAAATTGATGTTTTTTTAACACAATAAAAATTTAAATTAGTAGTGATTATAAAAATTACAACAAA